CAACTTAATGCAACTTAATTCAATCTAATGCAATAAAAATAATAATAAAAAAAGTACACATATGCATGATAAACATTGTATATCATCACACATGCTTCCTACCCTTCTTAATGTGGAAACTTCTCCTAAACCCTACCTGGGATGCAGGTGTTCCTGTTGCTAGGCAACGAGCGGGTAAACAGTTTCTGGGCAGCTAACATCCCGCCAAGTGAAGCTTTGACACCCTCTAGCTGCAGCGAAGACAGGCGGCGCTTCATCACCAACAAATACCGCCAGGGCAAATACAGGAAGTACCACCCTCTGTACGGAAACCAGAGAGAGCTCAACAATGTAAGTTGCTTTGATTGTTTGCTTCAGAGTTAGAGTTGGTCAACATACCTTGGGAAAGAAAGGCTTTCATACGCAGGGAGGATTTATAGCAGTTGAGGTGGTTGGTTTAGCAACCCACTATGACTAAGCTGTCCTTTTTAACCCATCATGCTGACCTCATTCATTTGTTGGAGACTGGTCCTTTTGCCTCACAATACTCTGTCACTCTTAAGCTTTCTTCTAGCAGCTGTGTGCATATTTCATAGAGGGTTGCAAGCTTAGTTGTGGCTGGAGTGTGTGTGTGTGGGTGGGTGGGTGTGTGTGTGTGTGGGTGCACAGGCATATACACACATCATGTACAGTAAATCTGCTTGCTTACTACTCAGACCATGACTAAGATTCCAAGAATGAAGAATTGATCGTTCTGTATTTTTAGGTCCTTTGAGTGTTCGTTCTTGTACTGACCTGTTAAGAGTGACTGACAGACAGAAAGACAACAAAACAGACTTTTTCTATGGAGTCAGTTAAAAGGAACATAAAAAAGAAGGGAGACCCTTGATGTAAATACACTTTATAGGCTTATAAAGGAGAGTATTTAATCATTATCATTTAAATGTGAAAGCACTCAGCATGCTCAATGTCTGAAATATCAAATATGTTGTCACCATTCACAGTATATATTAGGTTGTCACACACCTCTCCAGTCAGTGACAATAAAGTAGCCAGACTACAATCTACCCTTTCACTGGTTGATGTTTTTCTCCTTTCCCAGCTAGTTGACTAAGACAAGCTACATTTGTCACTTTACCCCAAAGTGGGGCATTCAAGGAACTGATTTGAACTCACTGTTGGACTGAAATGCAGTTTCCTAGATTAGAAAAGCTGGCCAAATTCCTGATGAAGTCCAACGTGTTAAGCACAGTCTGCCAACTGCAATAATCTAAATAACTGGCTCAGACTAGAGTGACTGTACTGAGACTACAAGATGGACAACCAGGTTATCTGTCCTTGTGTCATTGTCAGTGGAGGGCAGAAAACATGTATACCTGTACCCTCTTGACATGATGCTGGTCAGTAAAAGTCAGAAGCAGGACATTTTAGAACCGAGGATTATATATTGTGCCTTTGCTGTGCTCCACCGTGTGCGGTAAATGTCATAGTGTTTCAGACGCGGCTTGGTCACTCATTAGCTGCTTAACCCACTTACCACAAACAATGTGCACTGCTCACAGACACACTGAGTGGGTGAGTGAGTCACATTTAGCACCTGACTGTGAGTTCTGTTTTTCCTCCCTCAAGCGTTCAATCTTGTCTGTGTGTGTGTGTGT